GTGATTGAGAGTAAGAGTAATTGAGAGTAAGAGTATGAGAGTAAGAGTGAGAGAGTGAGTATGAATGGGTAAGGGTGACTGAGAGTGAGTAAGAGTGACAGAGTAAGAATGACAGAGTAAGAGTGATAGAGAGTAAGAGTGACAGAGAGTAAGAGTGACAGAGAGTAAGAGTGACAGAGAGTAAGAGTGACAGAGTAAGAGTGACAGAGTAAGAGTGACAGAGAGTAAGAGTGACAGAGTAAAAGTGAGTATGAGAGTGAGTAAGGATGACTGAGAGAAAGAGTGAGTAATAGTGCGTAAGAATGATTGAGAGTTAGAGTGAGAGTAAGAGTGATTGAGAGTTAGTGAGAGTAAGAGTGATTGAGAGTAAGAGTGATTGAGAGTAAAAGTGATTGAGAGTAAGAGTGATTGAGAGTAAGAGTGATTGGGAGTAAGAGTGATTGAGAGTAAGAATGATTGGGAGTAAGAGTGATTGGGAGTAGGAGTAAGAATGAGAATAAGAGTGATTGAGAGTAAGAGTGAGTAAGAGTAAGAATGAGAGTAAGAGTGATTGAGAGTAAGAGTGATTGAGAGTAAGAGTGATTGAGAGTAAGAGTGATTGGGAGTAAGAGTGATTGAGAGTAAGAGTGATTGGGAGTAAGAGTGATTGGGAGTAGGAGTAAGAATGAGAATAAGAGTGATTGAGAGTAAGAGTGAGTAAGAGTAAGAATGAGAGTAAGAGTGATTGAGAGTAAGAGTGATTGAGAGTAAGAGTGATTGAGAGTAAGAGTGATTGAGAGTAAGAGTGATTGGGAGTAAGAGTGATTGGGAGTAAGAGTGATTGAGAGTAAGAGTAATTGAGAGTAAGAGTAATTGAGAGTAAGAGTATGAGAGTAAGAGTGAGAGAGTGAGTATGAATGGGTAAGGGTGACTGAGAGTGAGTAAGAATGACAGAGTAAGAGTGACAGAGAGTAAGAGTGACAGAGAGTAAGAGTGACAGAGAGTAAGAGTGACAGAGAGTAAGAGTGACAGAGAGTAAGAGTGACAGAGAGTAAGAGTGACAGAGAGTAAGAGTGACAGAGAGTAAGAGTGACAGAGTAAGAGTGACAGAGTAAGAGTGACAGAGTAAGAGTGACAGAGTAAGAGTGACAGAGAGTAAGAGTGACAGAGAGTAAGAGTGACAGAGAGTAAGAGTGGCAGAGAGTAAGAGTGACAGTAAGAGTGACAGAGAGTAAGAGTGACAGAGTAAGAGTGACAGAGTAAGAGTGATAGAGAGTAAGAGTGATAGAGAGTAAGAGTGACAGAGAGTAAGAGTGACAGAGAGTAAGAGTGACAGAGAGTAACAGTGACAGAGAGTAAGAGTGATAGAGAGTAAGAGTGACAGTGAGTAAGAGTGACAGAGTAAGAGTGACAGAGAGTAAGAGTGACAGAGAGTAAGAGTGACAGAGAGTGAGAGTGACAGAGAGTAAGAGTGACAGAGTAAGAGTGACAGAGAGTAAGAGTGACAGAGTAAGAGTGACAGAGAGTAAGAGTGACAGAGAGTAAGAGTGAGAGTGATTATGAGAGAGTTAAGAGTGTGAGGTGTGAGAGGGTAGCAGGCCAGGGAGGCAGGATGTGTGGTCACAGGCGAGGCCTAGGCCTCGTGATCTCTAATGTTGGTTTTTATATATATGTTGGATTTTTTGTCCTGTTTCAAATTATAATTATTTAGCAGGAATGTAATAAGATATTGCACAGTATTAATGTGACAATAATATATGCATTATTTCCTTGATAATCAAACTTGTTGTTCAAAGATAATATACAATCTTTGAAGGAAACATTTTGAGAGCGCGAGCTGGCAACACTGGGCTGGTGGGTGAGAGAGACATATGGTTAGTTGTACTCAGACCTTCAGTGGTGAAGGGTGTGTCCCAGCTGGCCACCACCAGCCGCCACCCGCCGCCACCCACCACCAGCCGCCACCCACCACCAGCCGCCACCCGCCACCACCAGCTGCCACCTGCCGCCACCCACCACCAGCCGCCACCCGCCGCCACCCGCCACCAGCCGCCACCCGCCACCACCCACCACCAGCCGCCACCCACCACCACCCACCACCAGCCGCCACCCACCGCCACCCGCCACCACCAGCCGCCACCCGCCACCACCCACCACCAACCGGCACTCACCACCCGCCGCCACCACCCACCACCCGCCACCCACCACCACCCGCCACCCGCCACCACCCACCACCAGCCGCCACCCGCCACCACCCGCCACCCGCCGCCACCCGCCACCAGCCGCCAGCCACCGCCACCCACCACCGCCACTCACCACCCGCCGCCACCACCCACCACCCGCCGCCACCCGCCGCCACCACCCACCACCAGCCGCCACCCGCCACCACCCACCACCAGCCGCCACCCGCCACCAGCAGCCGCCACCCGCCACCAGCCACCGCCATTCACCACCCGCCGCCACCACCCACCACCCGCCACCCACCACCAGCCGCCACCCGCCACCACCAGCCGCCACCCGCCACCACCAGCCGCCACCCACCACCAGCCGCCACCCGCCACCACCCACCACCAGCCGCCACCCGCAACCACCCGCCACCAGCCGCCACCAGCCACCGCCACCCACCACCGCCACTCACCACCCGCCGCCACCACCCACCACCAGCCGCCACCCGCCACCAGCCACCGCCACCCACCACCGCCACCCGCCGCCACCACCCACCACCACCACCCACCACCACCAGCCGCCGCCGCCACCACCACCCACCACCACCGCCGCCACCACCCATCACCGCCGCCGCCACCACCACCCACCACCACCGCCGCCGCCACCACCCATCACCGCCGCCGCCACCACCACCAGCCACCAGCCGCCACCACCGCCCGCTATCAGCCGTCACCGCCCGTTGCCACAGTCGCCACCGCAAGCCGCCACCGCCAGCCGCCCCCCCCACCGCCGATCGTCACCACCCACCACCTGCCGCCACCACCCACCACCACCAGCCGCCGCCGCCACCCACCACCCGCCGCCACCACCCACCACCACCACCAGCCGCCGCCGCCACCACCACCCACCACCACCGCCGCCACCACCCACCACCACCAGCCGCCGCCGCCACCACCACCCACCACCACCGCCGCCACCACCACCCACCACCACTGCCGCCACCACCCACCACCGCCAGCCGCCACTACTCATCACAGACGCCGCCACCCGCCACCGCCCGCCACCACCGCCAGACACAGCCGCCAGTGTCCGCCACCGCCGCCACTGTCCGCCACCGCCGCCACTGTCCGCCCGCCGCCGCCACTGTCCGCCCGCCGCCGCCACTGTCCGCCCGCCGCCGCCACTGTCCGCCCGCCGCCGCCACTGTCCGCCCGCCGCCGCCACTGTCCGCCCGCCGCCGCCACTCTCCGCCCGCCGCCGCCACTGTCCGCCCGCCGCCACTGTCCACCACCGCCGCCAAAGCCGCCACGGTCCGCCCGCCGCCACTATCCGCCACAGCCGCCACTGTCCGCCTGCCGCCACTGTCCGCCCGCCGCCACTATCCGCCACCGCCGCCACTATCCGCCACAGCCGCCACTGTCCGCCTGCCGCCACTGTCCGCCCGCCGCCACTATCCGCCACCGCCGCCACTGTCCTCCCGCCGCCACTGTCCGCCTGCCGCCACTGTCCGCCCGCCGCCGCCCTGTCCGCCCGCTGCCACTATCCGCCACCGCCGCCACTGTCCGCCCGCCGCCACTATCCGCCACCGCCGCCACTGTCCGCCCGACGCCACTGTCCACCACCGCCGCCACTTTCCGCCCGCCGCCACTTTCCGCCCGCCGCCACTGTCCGCCACCGCCACCACTGTCCGCCACCGCCACCACTGTCCGCCACCGCCACCACTGTCTGCCACCGCCACCACTGTCCGCCCGCCGCCACCACTGTCCGCCCGCCGCCACCACTGTCCGCCCGCCGCCACCACTGTCCGCCCACCGCCTCCACTGTCCGCCCGCCGCCACCACTGTCCGCCCGCCGCCGCCACTGTCCGCCCGCCGCCGCCACTGTCCGCCCGCCGCCACTGTCCACCACCGCCGCCAAAGCCGCCACGGTCCGCCCGCCGCCACTATCCGCCACAGCCGCCACTATCCGCCACCGCCGTCACTATCCGCCACCGCCGCCACTGTCCGCCCGCCGCCACTGTCCGTCCGCCGCCACTATCCGCCACCGCCGCCCGCCGCCGCCACTGGCCGCCCGCCGCCACTGTCCGCCACCGCCGCCACTGTCCGCCACAGCCGCCACTCTCCGCCGTACAGCCTCCCCTCTCTCCGTTAGTAAATAATTTTAATTGTTAGTAAATAATAAAAGAAATATAAATTATTAGATTTTTTTTACCCTTCAATTGGTTTTAATATTAAAATTGAAAATAATAATATAATATAAAATATAATAAAAATAATATAATATAAAATATAATTTAATTTCAAGAAATTTAACTTTACACACAAAGATGTGAAAAGGGTTCAGATTATTGGCTCAAACCTTTCATAAGAGATTCATATTGGTATATGAATGGATTATGAATGACTCATGTTAGGAGTGTAAAGTTGCCACAACATCTCAAATTAGTGTTAGATACATATGTCTTGGTTATAAGTTTTGGAAACCTATTTAAGTCCACACACAATATCGTATCTGATACGATAAAACAAACGTTTCCAATACTTTCAAATACTTTCCAGATATGTTGTGGCAACCTAAAATTGTTTGCTGGGCGGTCCCAGTAATTTAGATGTTTTACTGAGTGGATTCTAGCAGGAAAGGATCTCTGCACGTTCTCCAGGTCAGCAATTTCTCCAGCTTTGAAAGGTGCTGTCATTGTGCAGCAGTACTCCGCTCTAGAGAGCACAAGTGTTTTGAAAAGTATCATCATCGGTATAGCATCTCTAGTGTGAAAAGTTCTTGTTATCCAACCTGTCATCAAGCTAAATCCTGTTATCCAACCTGTCATCTAGCTAAATCAATATTCTTTTCCACAGGATAACAAGCCAGAGGAATGTTCAGTGTGTTATAATGATTATGATGACAATCAGCTACGGCCTCGCAATCTGCAGTGTGGCCACACATTCTGCTCCCAGTGTATTGACAATGCAATTAAGAATAGTCAGCTGTCCTGCCCCAGCTGCCGTGCCGAGCACGCTGCCACAGCTGCTACTCAGTTCCCAATTAGCTATGCTGTGGAGGCTTTTGTTAGGAAACTCAAAAATATCCAGCTAACAACTGAGGAAGTAGTGCCAGCAAAACCTTATGAAGGTCCCGCCAGAGGCATCAGTAAGAAGTTACGTTCCCTGGTGCAGGAGCAGAAGAGCATCATCAGCAGCCTCATTACTAGCTGTGAAGAGGTACTGTCCCAGCTGGGGAAGTACCGGGGCCAGTTGGGGGACTGGAAGACTCACCACCTCCAGCTCCAGGACAGACTCTATGCTCTGGTAGAGCAGAACAAGTCAGCAATGAAGCTCTTGGAACTGGAGGATACCAATGTGGTGGATATGACAACACAAGGAGAGAAAGGGAAGACTCAGCTGCAGGCCATGTTGGGAAGCCTCGACACAGTCAACACCCTAATGGTGGTTGACACAACCATAGGCACAGCTGATGAGTGCAGCATGAAGATAGAAGATTGGCTCCAGAAGTGCCAGGAACTCTTCCCTAATGTCAAGACTGTCCACACCTCAGTGAAGGTACACTGCTGAAGGTCACATTGTTCTCACCCAACTGAGTGTAGTATTGCCTCTATATAAACACTTTTGACATGGAGACACATCAAGATGAGAGTTGACTTTATATATAGGAAACTTTCTGGGGGGAGCCCCATTGGTTCTCTGGAGCTATCCAGGCTGATATGGCTATATTAGCTTTCTGGAATTAGTCATGGTGCATGGAGTTCTTGCCTACCAGGGACCACGAGCCAGAACCTGGCCCCCTTAGAGAGGCACGAGGAGCAATGGCCTATAGAAATCCCCGTGTGGTTGGGAGCATTCTATGTCTGCCATCGACCTGGTCTGGCACCCAGAAAGGTAGGCGCTCCAAAACAAACCCTTATTCTGGTGAAAATATTGCTACCGAAAGCTGAACTCCCCAAACAAAAATTAGCAAACGAGCATGACGTCATCACATTGCCACGCCGCTGTCTGCGCAACCCCTCCCCTTTCCCGGTAGGAGGAGGGGGAGGGGAGAAGCCCCAGACCCCTCACGCTGGTGATCCACCCTTTAGTTCTTGGCTGAAGTGATAATGGTGAGGTCTTGTGCCTCTGACTCCTGAATTTGTCTCAGTTTCTGTGCCTTGAGGCATGGTCTGTCTTTACGGCTGGTGTGTGAGCCAGGAGTAATATTCTTCGGTGCTCGGGCTGCATGCACCTAGGGTCACCTTCCTTAGGTGCTCTGTAAGTACTGCCCTTGGGGCCACTTTCCACAAGTCTCTTTAGGATCTTCCTCTGCTGAGTCTTTTACTGCTCGGTACTTGGTCGCCCTTGGAGTCAACTGGGGTTTTTGTTGCCCTTGTTTGTCTCTGGGTAGGAGGTAGTTTTCATCACTGGTAGCACGGGGGTACTGCACTGATAGTTATCACCTATTATAGCGGCTGGCTCTGTTCCGCCTGGGTATGTTGTCCTCTTGCAGATTTTTTCTTTTGTTTTTGTTTTCCTGCCTGGTGGGTTTTGGTGGGTCTGCCTTTGGTTGGTTGCCCCTATCTATATTTAGGGTATATATACATATGTGTTCTTTGTGGTATCCCCTTGCTAGGCCCCCTGTGAGTGGACATGTCCTGAGGGTTCAGCTTTTAGAAGTTTGCTTGGTAGTTTTGGGCACCGGTTTACAGTACACTGTCTGGGCTTCCCTTAGCTTGTTACCAAGGTAACAAGGCCCTGGGAAACCCCACGCGGGCTCCGAGGTCCGATGGATGCAACCCTTGAGTCCCCTCTCCGTTTGTGTGAGGTTGATAGTTGCTCTGTCCCCTTGTTTCAGGGTGACACGCTCCAGTTGTGCCTCCACCATGTTGCCTGTAGGGTCGGTGATACTTTTGACCCGGAGTCATGTGACGTTTGTTGTTGGTACATTTTCCAGTTCACCCATGCCACTGATCATGATATGAGGGTGCAGGCAGCAGCTGTTTTGCATGCTAGGTTTAGGCTGCTGCAATGCAATAGGTTAGTTGCTTCCCCGGATGCCCCGAGACTGGTCTGTTTTGGTTTTAGTGACCCGGACTTGGGGGTGGGAGTCACTTCGACTTTGGTTCCGTCCCCCCTCCTTGTCCTTCCCCCCTTCTGTGGAGTGTCTGGTCCCTTGCTTCCAGCTCCAAAACGTCTCAGGGTTTCGGAGTCAGGGCAGGGTCTAATTGGTGTTGAGACTCGGGCCGTTTTGGGGAAGTCCCCTTCCGGGGTGGTGGCGGATCCATTTGAGCCTGGTCTTCTGGCCTAAGCTTGTGGGTCTGACCAGTGGGCCCCTTTCGATCCTGTTCTTTCGGTAGCTCCTGCCGAAAGAACAAACTCCCTCTTAGAAGCGGGGAGTTTGCAGAACGGCTCGGCTCCAGGTCCTCGGGGTGGGGGTTGACTTGGGAGCCTTGGGCCTTGTTGGACTCCGCCTGAGTTTTTGTACCCTTGGAGCGGGGCTTGGTGTTGCAAGGAGTGGGGTTCTCCTTCTCTCCTTCCTCGTACGAATTGGATTTGGTGTCTACCCCCTCCCCGGGTTACGTTGTGTGTTCCTGTGGGTTTTCTGGGGAGGGAAGGGGGGAGCCCCTACGGCTCCCCGGAGCTATCCAGGCTGATATGGATATTCCTTCCTAACTTTGGCATCAATCAATGTGGGTGGAGTTCTAGGCCTACCAGGGACCATGAGCCAGAACCTGGCCCTCCCAGGGAGGCACGAAGAGCAATGGCCTATATAAATGCACATGTGATTTGGAGCATTTTATATTTGCCATCGACTGGGACAGGCACCCAGAAAGGTAAGCGCCCCAAAACAAACCCCTGTTCTGGTTAAAAACAAAAAAAATAGACAAACGAGTGGACAGAATTCCCAAAATGAAAACGAGCTAACAAGCATGACGTCACACGAGCCGCCCCGCATGTCTGCGCAGCTCTCTCCTCGGGAGGGGGAATGGTGAGCCCCAGACCCCTATGCCCGCGATCCACTCCTTCAGTTCTTCGGCTGATGGGAGACAGCATGGTCGTGTGGCTACAGCTCTGGCCTGTTGTTGTGCTGTCCTCTGTTTCAGTAATGCTCTTATGGTGGGGTGCAAGCTGGAAGCAATATTCACAGGTACTTGGGCTGCATGTGCTTAGGGTCACCTTCTGAGTGCCCTGTAAGTACTGCCCTTGGGGCTTGGGGTTCTCTTCCACAAGTCACCTTTGTCCTACCTCTGTTGGTGTTTTGCTGCTTGGCAATTAACCTCCCCGAGTGTTTGGGGGGTTTCCACCCTTGTTTGTTTTGAGGTAAGGGGTAGTTTTTGCGCTGGTAGGGGTGAGGGGTACTGCACAGCTAGTTTTCACCTATAACAGGGGCCGGCTCTGTTTCCTCTGGGTGCGATGTCCTCTTGCGAGTTTTTCTTTTCTTTTTGCCTGGTGGGGGGGGGGGAATGTGCCTTGGTGTGCCCCCTCCTTTATATTAGGGTTGTTTTTGTTTTGTGTTACTCCCCCTGCTTTGCCCTCGTGAGTGGACATGTCCCGGGGGTTCATCATTTAGCAGTGTTGATTGGTAGCTTAGATGCCGGTTAGTAGTACCCTGCCTGGGAATTACCCTTAGCAGACCTAGTCTAGGGGGCCCCTAGGAAACCCCCGCTGGGGCACTCGGGGTCCAATGGATGAGACCCCTGAGTCCCCTCTCGCTTTGTATGAGTTTGAGGTTTGCTCTGTCCACTTCTCTCAGGGCAACACCCATTTTTTTTCCTCCGTCATGTTGCCTGTTGGGTCGGTGAGACATTTGGCCCTGAGTCCATCAAGCTTTGTTGCTTGTTTGTGACTCAATTCATCCCATCTGCTGATGACATTATTCAAGTGCAGGTGGCTCACGCGTTGCAGGATAGGTTAGGTTGTTGCAACGCGCTAGGTTGGTTGCTTCCCCGGATACTCCGAGGCTGTCCCATTTTGCTTATAGGGACCCGGACTTTGGGGGTGTTGGTCGCGTCGGCCTTGGTTCAGTCCGTGCCCCCTCGTTCTTCCCCTGCTGTAGTTCATTCCCCCCCCCCCCCTCATCCATTTACGGCTCCTAAGTGTCTGGAGTCTTCGGGGTCAGGACAGGATTTAGAGGTTTCTGAGACTGGTGGTTTCGGGGGGTTGCCTCTTCTTGGGTTGCTATTTAGGCATTCGAGTTTGTTTCTCCAGCCGTAGCTCCGGGGTCTGACCAGTGGGCTCGCTCTCTTCCAGCTATTTCAGCCTCACCAAGTTTTTCTTGTGAGGCCGGGGGTTTGGAGGACAACTCGCCCCCTCAGGGCCTGATGTGGAGGAGGTTCAAGGGGTTGGGGAAGAGCTGATTTGAGGGCCTTGGGCCTCGTTGGACCCCGCCTGGGTTTTCCGACCCACTGGGCTGGGCTTATTGTTACAGGTATTTGTGGTTTTCCTTTCTCCCCCTCTGCTTACGAGTTGGATTTGGGTTCGGCTCCTCCCCGGGGTTCGGTTCCGTGTCCCTGTGAATCCTTCGGTTCCATCCTTCCGGAGGTTTTCGGCTTCCCACGCCTCGCCTACTGAGGTGTGGGGGGGCATTTCAGCTTACCTCCTGCGTGACCCGGAAAATGACTATATAATGGATCCGTCTTCCTTCAGGTCTGGTTCTTCGTCTCCATACTGGTTCCGGGTTCGTCCTGGCTTGCGGACTGCCCTTTGTTCTCGCTGGATGCTTGGGACTCCTTCTGTCATACCCACAGGCTTGGGTGGCACAAGGCGTTGACTGTGGTCCTGGTTTACTTGAGGGCGATTTTGAGCACCTTAATGAGTGCCTTTTCGCTCCTGCTCTTCCATGGGATGTCCTGGTCTTTGGACAGAGTGCTCTCCTATCTATCATCTTGGTTTCTTGTGGCCCCTTCGGTTCAGGATTGTTTTTCTAAGGCTCTTTTTCCTTTTGGCATTGGCATCTGGGGGTCGGGCTATGGAGCTCAATGCTCTTCTCCAGCACAGGGGTTTCTGCTCTTATGTTCGTGGTGATAAGTTTGTTCGTATTCAACCGTCTCCTTTTTTTCTGGCGAAGAATGAGACTGCTGTTTTCCGAAAGGGGTCCTTGGGTTGTTGATGCTTGGTTGATCAGGCCAGGGGGTGCATCATGTGTTGTGTCCAGTTGCGGCCCTCTGCCGTTATTTGCGTGCCACAGCTTCTGTGTCCGGGGATGCGTTTTGGGTTCATCCGGTTTCCCCTCTTCCCTGTTTTCGGGTACAGGTCTCACAGGTCATCCACAGGGTTATTAAGTCTAGCTAGTCTGCGGTTTATTCCTGTGTCCATGACATTCGTAAATTTGCTGCTCTTGGTGCCGTCTTTGGTAACATGTCCTGGACTGACATTAGGACACTGGGTTTTTGGTGGTTGAACAGGGTCCTGGCTGCATGCTACCTCGTTAACGTTCCTGGGCCTAGTTGGGCCTGTGTCGCTTTGGGTCGGTGGCTGCAGCCTGTCTCAACTTCGAGTTGAGATGTGGAACACTGACCGCCTCCAAGCAACAGCCTAGTGGACCATGCTCTCACAAGTCAAATAGTTCTCCTCTCCAAGCACGCCGGGCTCCTCCCCAAGCACGCCGGGCTCCTCCCCAAGCACGCCGGGCTCCTCCCCAAGCACGCCGGGCTCCTCTCCAAGCACGCCGGGCTCCTCCCCAAGCACGCCGGGCTCCTCCCCAAACACGCCGGGCTTGGGGAGTAGAACTATTCCCAGAACCCAATCAAGCAGGTATCCCGGGTAAGTCGCCCTTCTTTCTTTTTAGTCTCTGGTGAAGTAGCTCCGCGGAGCCATAGGGGCTACCCCTCAGAACACCAGCGTTGAATGTAATGAAACACCATTTTCTGGGTAAGTCCCGGAGGCTCCCCGGCAACCCTCCCTTTCTCCGGTCGGCAGTTTTTGCGCATTTTAACATCCAGCCTCAGAACTTTAGGGTGGATCGCCGATGTGGGTGTCTGGGGCTTCCCCTTCCCCCCTCATGGGGAGGGGGGATCTGTGCAGACATGCAATGTGGCTCGTGTGACGTCATGCTTGTTTGTTCGTTTTCATTTGGGGGGAAGGGGTTCTGTCCACTCGCTTGTCTAATTTCGTTGTTTTTAACCAGAATAGGGGTTTGTTTTGAGGTGCTTGCCTCTCTGGGTGCCTGTCCCAGTCGATGGCAGATATAGATTGCTCCAAATCACATGTGCATTTCTATACGCCATTGGTCCTTGTGCCTCTCTGAGGGGGGCCATGTTCTGGCTCGTGGATCCTGGTAGGCAAGAACTCCATGCACATTGATGCCAGAAAGCTAATATATCCATATCAGCTTGGATATCTGTGGGGAGCCTCCGGGACTCGCCCAGAAAATGGTGTTTCATTACATTCAATGCTGTTTTTTTGCTCTAGTACCTGAAACATTGTTATTAATAAAGTCAACTGTCATCTTGGTGTTTCTCTACACTGTGGTCAGTGTAGAGAAACACCATTACTTATATTTTCCAGTTACTTTACTCAGAGCCTGATGCTTCAATATAGTTCAGTTACTTTACTCAGAGCTTGATGCTTCATTATAGTCCAGTTACTTTACTCAGAGCCTGATGCTTCATTATAGTCCAGTTACTTTACTCAGGGTCTGATGCTTCATTATAGTCCAGTTACTTTACTCAGAGCCTGATGCTTCATTATAGTCCAGTTACTTTACTCAGAGCCTGATGCTTCATTATAGTCCAGGTTCCACCATTAATGTTTGTGTTGGTAATGACAGGTGCAGGAGACCATCAGGGAGGCCCTGGAGATGATGGCCATAGAGACAGGTGCCACAGCTGACCCCGTACACCTGGGAGACTCAGCCTCCAGCATCATGAATAAAGTTCAGGAAATCACTCAGAAGCAATTAACAGTAAGTTTTTTATTTTCTCAGCCTCCAGCATCATGAATAAAGTTCAGGAAATCACTCAGAAGCAATTAACAGTAAGTTTTTTATTTTCTCTCGTGGTTCATATCACAAGATATTGAGTTGTGTCTCGAGGAGAGGAAGCCTGTTCTTAGGTTTATGGAGGTTCCCCAAGGTCAACAACTGACTTTCTTTAACATACAATACACAATAGTTGCCTAACTCCTGGTAAACATTTACTGGTAGGTGAACAACAGAAACAGGTGAAAAGAAACATGTGAATCATTTCCGTCCTGCATAAAGATTGAACATGTGATCCTCTATTGAACCCGGATCCTGCCCCCTCACAGAGGCGCAGAGAGCGGGTGACACTCCACCAACCTACCGGGAAAGCATTCAGGAAGACAGTGAACCAAAACACACCACTGCTGGGTTCGAAGAGACTGAAGCCTTGAAACTGCCAACAAACTCCCAAACAATGCCAGCACCAACCCCCCCTGCCAGTAGAGGGGGGCTGGAGCTACAGGTCCAGCACCAACCCCCCTGCCAGTTGAGGGGGGCGGGAGCTACAGGTTCGGCACCAACCCTCTGCAAGTAAAGGGGGGCTAGAGCTACAGGTCCAGCACCAACCCCCCTGCCAGTAGAAGGGGGCTGGAGCTACAGGTCCAGCACCAACCCCCTGCCAGAAGAAGGGGGCTGGAGCTACAGGTCCAGCACCAACCCCCCTGCCAGTAAAGGGGGGCTAGAGCTACAGGTCCAGCATCAACACCCTGCCAAAAGAGAGGGGGGCTGGAGCTACAGGTCCAGCACCAACCCCCTGCCAGTAGAGGGGGGGCCTGGAGCTACAGGTTCAGCACCAACCCCCCTGCCAGTAGAGGGGGCTGGAGCTACAGGTCCAGCACCAACACCCTACCAATAGAGGGGGGCTGGAGCTACAGGTCCAGCACCAACCCCCTGCCAGTAGAGGGGGGGCCAGGAGCTACAGGTTCAGCACCAACCCCCCTGCCAGTAGAGGGGACTGGAGCTACAGGTCCAGCACCAACCCTCTGCCAGTAGAGGGGGCTGGAGCTACAGGTCCAGCACCAACCCTCTGCCAGTAGAGGGGGGGCTAGAGTTATAGGTCCAGCACCATCCCCCTGCCAGTAGAAGGGGGCTAGAGTTATAGGTCCAGCACCATCCCCCTGCCAGTAGAAGGGGGCTGAAGGTCCAGCACCAACACACTGCCAGTAGAAGGGGGCTGGAAGTCCAGCACCTACCCCCTGCCAGTAGAGGGGGGCTGGAGCTACAGGTCCAGCACCAATCCCTTGCCAGTTGAGGGGGGCTGGAGGTCCAGCACCTACCCCCTGCCAGTAGAGGGGGGCTGGAGCTACAGGTCCAGCACCAACCCCCTGCCAGTAGAGGGGGGCTGGAGCTACAGGTCCAGCACCAACCCCCTGCCAGTAGAAGGGGCTGGAAGTCCAGCACCTACCCCCTGCCAGTAGAGGGGGGCTGGAGCTACAGGTCCAGCACCAACCCCCTGCCAGTAGAGGGGGGCTGGAACTACAGGTCCAGCACCAACCCTCTGCCAGTAGAGGGGGGCCAGAGCTACAGGTCCAGCATCAACCCTCTGCCAGTAGAGGGGGGGCCAGAGCTACAGGTCCAGCACCAACCCCCTGCCAGTAGAGGGGGGGCTGGAGCTACAGGTCCAGCACCAACCCCCTGCCAGTAGAGGGGGGGCCAGAGCTACAGGTCCAGCACCAACCCTCTGCCAGTAGAGGGGGGGCCAGAGCTACAGGTCCAGCACCAACCCCCTGCCAGTAGAGGGGGGGCTGGAGCTACAGGTCCAGCACCAACCCCCTGCCAGTAGAGGGGGGGCCAGAGCTACAGGTCCAGCACCAACCCTCTGCCAGTAGAGGGGGGGCCAGAGCTACAGGTCCAGCACCAACCCTCTGCCAGTAGAGGGGGGGCCAGAGCTACAGGTCCAGCACCAACCCTCTGCCAGTAGAGGGGGCTGGAGCTACAGGTCCAGCACCAACCCTCTGTCAGTAGAGGGGGGCCAGAGCTACAGGTCCAGCACCAACCCTCTGCCAGTAGATAGAGGCTGGAGCTACAGGTTGTCACGCGCCGCTCACCTTGGCCTTGTGTTACATGAGGTTACAGTTAAACAGCGGGGGATCGTGCTACTGATCCTATAACCTCACGCCGTGGGACTTCACTCCCTCCACTAGGGTATCACATTTCACCCCAGGGAGCTCTCCTAGTCATGCCTCAAGACCGGTCATCACTTGACCTTGGACCCAAGGAGGAGAGGAGAAGGCCCAGCCCACACTACTAAACTCAATCCTGCAGTATATGACTCCACCACCAGGCCTGCCCACCTGTGCGTGCAGAGAATTTGCCGGACTTCCGGTCGTAGCCTCACGTCCACCTCTTCCTTCCTGGTCGCCAGCTGGGTAATTCTCTCTGTGTCCCAGGAACGCCGTTAGTTCAAATATAATATATTTACAGCAGCCTAGGACCTTACTGTGTGCTGCCAATACTAGAATTCAAATGTACAGTCATGTTGTCACCTCAGGGTCACTCATTAGGGAATGCCAGTACCAGTGTTCAAATCTCATGTCATGTTGCCAACACAGGGTCTCTCTCTGTCATTCCAGTAACAGTACAGTATAATCATGTTATTAACTACAAAGCACAATGAGATGGAGGTTATACCAAAAGCAGTGATAAAATAGTAAAAGTTTACTCAAAGTATACTACAACACACAAGATACATATATGAATTTATGGAAATAATAATAATAATGATGACAGCAGGGCTCCTCTGGTGGCCGCCAGCAGCTCGCATCAGCTGATGAATTAAAGGGATCACTGGCCCCTCCTCACTGGGGCGGCTCCGTCAGCGTCGCTCCTCACTCCTCCACGGGCCGGCCACACGCTGTCTTCACCACTCAGTAGAATAATATATATACGTGCTGTCCCACAGCCTAATCTACTCCTATGACTTATATGCACCCTAATAAATGCCTAAGCATAATAATAGGCCTATCTTGCCTAACAATCAAGGGAAATATGATCTACCTTAACATATCCCGTCCTCAGACGCCTAGGCTCCAGTCGCCCGCTGGGTACTCCGTTCCTCGCGTTGTTCCCAGTGTTCCAGAAGCATCACCAGTCCATAGGTGTGAAGATCCTCGGCATCTCCGTGCTCATTCCCTGAGTGATGTTCCTGGGCGTTGGCTCATCCATTCGTCACTGCATGCGTCGTTCCCTCAAGCATTCCTTCACCGAGACCACACTCAAGGATCAGGATGCACTTTCTCCCTTCTGAGTTCCTAGTAGGCGTGATCTAATCACAACAGCTCTGAATGCTTTGGAGTTCCACCGACAGCGAGTCACTCACTCCTCCAGCTGTCGTAACTCTCTCAACTTCTCCAAAACTATTAGCACACGGTCCTCGGCGCCCTTTCACCGCTGGATTAGGCTTCCTCGCACTTCCCTGAAGTTCTGCAGTCCTTCTTAGTCACTATATACTCGTCAGGCTGTGTATATCCACTTACAGAGGCTCCTAGACCTCAGAACTATCGGCGCTACCCCTGCCAGTAGAGGTGGGCTGGAGCTACAGGTCCAGCACCAACCCCTGCCAGTAGAGGGGCAGCTGGAGGTACAGGTCCAGCACCAACCTTCTGCCAGTAGAGGGGGGCTGGAGCTACAGTTCCAGCACCAACCCACTGCCACTAGAGGAGTTGGGCTGGAGCTACAGGTCCAGCACCCACCCAATGCCAGTAGAGGGGGGGGGGGGCTGGAGGTATAGGTCCAGCACCAACCCCCTGCCAGTAAAGGGTGGGGGGCTTGAGATACAGGTCCAGCACTAACCCCCTGCCAGTAGAGTGGGTCTGGAGCTACAGGTCCATCACCAACCCCCTGCCAGTAGAGTAGGGCTGGAGCTTCAGGTCCAGCACCAACCCCCTGCCAGTAGGGGGGGGCTGGAGCTTCAGGTCCAGCACCAACCCTCTGCCAATAGAGGGCTGGAGTTACTTGTCCAGCACCAACCCCCTGCCAGTAGAGGGGTATCTGGAGGTACAGGTCCAGCTCCAACCCCCCCTGCCAGTAGAGGGGGGACTTGAGATAAAGGTCCAACACCACCCCCCTGCCATTAGAGGGGGGCTGGGGCAACAGGTCCCACACCAAACCCCTGCCAGTAGAGTGGGGCTTGAGCTACAGGTCCAGCACCAACCCTCTGCCAGTAGAGGGGGGCTGGGGCAACAGGTACAGCACCAACCCACTGCCACTAGAGGAGGGGGCTGGAGCTACAGGTCCAGCACCCACCCACTGCCAGAAGAAGGGGGCTGGAGCTACAAGTCCAGCACCATCCCCCTTCCAGTAGAGAAGGGGTTGGAGATGCAGGTCCAGCACCAACCCCCTGCCAGTTGAAGTGGGGGGGGGGAAGCTGGAGCTACAGGTCCAGCACCAACCTTCTGTCAGTAGAGGGGGGAGGGCTCGAGCTACAAGTCCAGCACCAACCCCCTTCCAGTAGAAGTGGGGGGGGGAAGCTGGAGCTACAGGTCCAGCACCAACCCCCTGCCAGTAGAAGTGGGGGGGGGGGGGAAGCTGGAGCTACAGGTCCAGCACCAACCTTCTGCCAGTAGAGGGGGGGGGCTGGAGCTACAAGTCCAGCACCAACCCCCTGCCAGTAGAGGGGGGCTGGAGCTACAGGTTCAGCACCAACCCCCTGCCAATAGACGGGGGGGGGCTGGAGCTAAAGGTCCAGCACCAACCCCATGCCAGTAGAGGGGGGCTGGAGTTACAGGTCCAGCACCAACCCCCTGCCAGTAGAGGGGGGCTGGAGTTACAAGTCCAGCACAAATCTCCTGCCAGTAGAGGGGGGCTGGAGCTTCAGGTCCAGCACCAATCCCCTGCCAGTAGAGGGGGGGGGGGCTGGAGCTACAGGTTCAGCACCAATCCCCTGCCAGTAGAGGGGGGCTGGAGTTTCAGGTCCAGCACCAATCCCCTGCCAGGATAGGGGGCTGGAGCTACAGGTCCAGCACCAACCACCCTGCCAGTAGAGGGTGGGCTGGAGCTACAGGTTCAGCACGAACCTCCTGCCAGAAGAGGGGGGTGGGGTTCGAACTACAGGTCCAGCACCAACCCCCTGCTAGTAGATGGGGGGGGGGCTGGAGCTACAGGTCCAGCACCAACCCCATGCCAGGATAGGGGGGGGGGCTGGAGCTTCAGGTCCAGCACCATCACCTGCCAGTAGAGTGGGGGGGGGCTGGAGCTACAGGTCCAGAACAAACCCCCTGCCAGTAGAGGGGGGGGGACTGGAGCTACAGGTCCAGAACAAACCGCCTGCCAGTAGAGGGGGCTGGAGCTACATGTCCAGCACCAACGCCCTGCCAGTAGAGGGGGGGCTTGACCTACAGGTTCAGCACCAACCCCCTGCCAGTAGAGGGGGGCTGGAGCTCCAGGTCCAGCACCAACCCCCTGCCAGTAGAGAGGGGCTGGAGCTACAGGTCCAGCACTATCCCCCTGCCAGTAGAGGGGGGCTGGAGCTACAGGTCCAGCACCCACCCCCTGCCAGTAGGAGGGAGGCTGAAGCTACAGGTCCAGCACCAATCCCCTGCCAGTAGAGGGGGGGGGGCTGAAGCTACAGGTCCAGCACCAACCCCCTGCCAGTAGAAGTGGGCTGGAGCTACAGGTCCAGAACAAACCCCCTGCCAGTAGAGGGGGGGCTGGAGCTCAACCCGTTCTCGCAAATTTAATAAGTCAATATTGACTTATTAAATATGTGCATAGGTGACATACTTAACATAATAGATACCCTTAAAAAGATTCATAGAAAACACCGACCTTACCTAACCTACTTAGTATGTTAAGATAAGCATCTTATTGCTTCGTAATTACAATTACTACCTAACCTATAAAACGTATAGGTTAAGTAATAATTGTAATTACGAAGCAATAAGATGCTTATCTTAAGATACTAACAAGGTTAGGTAAGGTCGGTGTTTTCTATGAATCTTTTTAAGGGTATCTATTATGTTTAGTATATCACCTATGCACGTAGTTAATAAGTCAATATTGACTTTACGAATTTGCGAGAACGGGTTGCTGGAGCTACAGGTCCAGCACCCACCCCCTGCCAGTAGAGGGGGGCTGGAGCTAAAGGTCCAGCACCAACCCCCTGCCAGTAGAGGGGGGCTGGAGCTAAAGGTCCAGCACCAAACCCCTGCCAGTAGAGGGGGGCTGGAGCTAAAGGTCCAGCACCAAACCCCTGCCAGTAGAGTGGGGCTGGAGCTACAGGTCCAGCACCAACCCCCTGCCAGTAGAGGGGGGCTGGAGCTACAGGTCCAGCACCAACCCCCTGCCAGTAGAGGGGGGCTGGAGCTAAAGGTCCAGCACCAAACCCCTGCCAGTAGAGTGGGGCTTGAGCTACAGGTCCAGCACCAACCCTCTGCCAGTAGAGGGGGGCTGGGGCAACAGGTCCCGCACCAAAACCCTGCCAGTAGAGGGGCAGCTGGAGGTACAGGTCCAGCACCAACCCCCTGCCAATAGAGGGGGGGGGCTGGAGCTACAGGTCCAGCACCAACCCACTGCCACTAGAGGAGGGGGGCTGGAGCTACAGGTCCAGCACCCACCCACTGCCAGAAGAAGGGGGCTGGAGCTAAAAGTCCAGCACCATCCCCCTTCCAGTAGAGAAGGGGTTGGAGATGCAGGTCCAGCACCAACCCCCCCTGCTAGTAGAGGGGGGGGGCAGGAGCTACAAGTCCAGCACCAACCCCTGACAGTTGAAGTGGGGGGGGGGGGAAGCTGGAGCTACAGGTCCAGCACTAACCTTCTGTCAGTAGAGGGGGGAGGGCTCGAGCTACAAGTCCAGCACCAACCCCCTTCCAGTAGAAGTGGGGGGGGGGGAAGCTGGAGCTACAGGTCCAGCACCAACCCCCTGCCAGTAGAAGTGGGGGGGGGGAAGCTGGAGCTACAGGTCCAGCACCAACCTTCTGCCAGTAGAGGGGGGGGGCTGGAGCTACAAGTCCAGCACCAACCCCCTGCCAGTAGAGGGGGGGCTGGAGCTACAGGTTCAGCACGAACCCCCTGCCAATAGAGGGGGGCTGGAGCTACAGGTCCAGCACCAACCCCATGCCAGTAGAGGGGGGCTGGAGTTACAGGTCCAGCACCAACCCCCTGCCAGTAGAGGGGGGCTGGAGTTACAAGTCCAGCACAAATCTTCTGCCAGTAGAGGGGGGCTGGAGCTTCAGGTCCAGCACCAATCCCCTGCCAGTAGAGGGGGGGGGGCTGGAGCTACAGGTTCAGCACCAATCCCCTGCCAGTAGAGGGGGGCTGGAGCTACAGGTCCAGCACCAACCCACTGCCACTAGAGGAGGGGGGCTGGAGCTACAGGTCCAGCACCCACCCACTGCCAGTAGAAGGGGGCTGGAGCTACAGGTCCAGCACCAACCCACTGCCACTAGAGGAGGGGGGCTGAAGCTACAGGTCCAGCACCAACCCCTTGCCAATAGACGGGGACTGGAGCTACAGGTCCAGCACCAACCCCCTGCCAGTAGAGGGGGGCTGGAGCTAAAGGTCCAGCACCAACCCCCTGCCAGTAGAGGGGGGCTAGAGTTACAGGTCCAGCACCAAAACCCTTGCCTGTAGAGGGGACTGGAACTACAGGTCCAGCACCAACCCCCTGCCAGTAGAGGGGGGATGGAGCTACAGGTCCAGCACCAACCCCCTGCCAGTAGAGGGGGGCTGGAGCTACAGGTCCTGCACCAACCCCCCTGCCAGTTGAGAGGAGGGGTGGAGCTACAGGTCCAGCACCACCCCCCTGCCAGTAGAGGTGGGCTGGAGCTACAGGTTCAGCACGAACCTCCTGCTAGAAGAGGGGGGTGGGGTTGGAACTACAGGTCCAGCACCAACCCCCTGCCAGTAGAGGGGGGCTGGAGCTACAGGTCCAGCACCAAACCCCTTGCCAGTAGAGGGGGCTGGAGCTACAGGTTCAGCACGAACCTCCTGCTAGAAGAGGGGGGTGGGGTTGGAACTACAGGTCCAGCACCAACCCCCTGCCAGTAGAGGGGGGCTAGAGTTACAGGTCCAGCACCAAACCCCTTGCCAGTAGAGGGGACTGGAGCTACAGGTAAAGCACCAACCCCCTGCCAGTAGAGGGGGGCTGGAGCTACAGGTCCAGCACCACCCCCCTGCCAGTAGAGGTGGGCTGGAGCTACAGGTTCAGCACGAACCTCCTGCTAGAAGAGGGGGGTGGGGTTGGAACTACAGCTCCAGCACTATCTCCCTACCAGTAGGAGGGGGCTGGAGCTACAGGTCCAGCACCAACCTCCTGC